TCATGAGGATTCATTAGTAAGTCTGTAAAGTTTTTCATATGTAAATAATTTACGTTTTAGGTTTCGTCAATACGTCAGTATTGTACGTTAAAATGCTGAAAATACGGCAGTATTGTATGTCAAAATGTGCTGAAAATATCAGTATTGTACGTTTTAGTGCCTGTAAAAACGTAAGTAAATGTACGTTTTATAGAACCACGTTACGTAAAATACATACGAATTATCATGAGATCACGTTGGAAAGACAGATATGTTATATCGGGGCAGTCGTGGCCTAATGGTTAGAGAGGCGGACTTGTAACCCAAAGGTTGCATGTTAATATATATATAATGCTGTGTATATATATATATATATATATATATTAACAGTACTGTATGGGAGTATGCTACTGTTCAAAAGTTTAGTTAGTAAGATTTGTTTTGTTTTGTTTTGTTTTTAAAAGTCTATTACGCTCACCAAGGCTGCATTTATTTGATCAAAATACAGTTAAAACTGTAATATTGTGAAATATTATTGCAATTTAAAATAACTGCTTTTTATTTTAATATATTTTAAAATGTAATTTATTCCTGTGATGACAAAGCTGAATTTTCAGCAGTCACTGCTCCAGTCTTCAGTGTCACATGATCCTTCAGAAACCATTCTAATATGCTGATTTGCTACTGCTGGAAAAAAATTCTTAGTACTATCAATGTTGAAAACAGTTGTACCCCTTTGTAGAAACTGTAATATGTTTTTTTTTTTTTCATAATTCTTTGATAAATGGAACGTTCAGAACTGCATTTATTTGAATATAAATATTTTGTAACATAAGTGTTCTGTCATTTTGGTCAATTTAATGTGTCTGCTGCATAAAAGCATATAAAAGCAAAAACACACACATATATATATATATATGGTGTTTCAATTTATGAAGAACTCAATTAAATCTGTATGTGGGAGTGTGTGTGAAAAAAAGCAGATGTAACCCCCTTTGTAATCCTTAACATTTTCATAAGTAACTGTAATTTAATTACACATTTTTTCTCAGTAACTATAACTGATTACAATTACTTTTATTTTGTAATTAAATTACGTAATTCCGTTACATGTAACTAGTTACTCCCCAACACTGTTTATAAGTATATATAATATTTGCAAAGGTAATTCTGGTGCATCACTAAAAATTACATATTTCCTCTCTTGTTCTGTAGTGATCGTGGTGTTGTTTGCTGCCCTGAAACGTCAGAAGAAGAAAGAGCCCCTGATCATCTCCAAGGAGGACGTGAGGGACAATGTGGTCAGCTACAATGACGAGGGTGGCGGCGAGGAGGACACGCAGGCCTTTGACATCGGAGCACTTCGCCATCCGGAAGTAATGGAGGAGAGCAAACTACGGCGGGACATCCTGCCCTCTGAGTCACTCTACCCTCCGCCGCCACTTCACAGGACCATGGTGCCATCCCGAGAGAACGCAGACGTACGGGACTTTATCAACCAACATGTGCAGGAAAACGACGGCAACCCCACGGCTCCTCCTTACGACTCACTGGCCACCTATGCGTATGAAGGTAACGGATCGGTGGCCGAGTCACTCAGCTCGCTGGGGTCCATGTCCTCGGAAGGGGATCAGGACTATAACTACCTCAGCGAGTGGGGGCCACGCTTCAGGAAGCTAGCAGACATGTACGGCGGCGAGGACAGCGACTGGGACTCCTAACGGACAGACTGTGGAGCGAGACTCATTTGCTGATCTGCCTCTACATGATGACTGGAGTGGCAGACTGAGGCAGCCTAATTTCTTTTACAAAGTGCCCTTTTATCGTTCTCTTTGTCCTACAATCAGGCAGTCAGTTTCTCTGTCCTGATTGGCAATGCGTTTTCTCAAATGAGGAAACGAACTTCACGCTCTGGTGAGGAGGACGTTATCTGTACATGGACTTCTCATCAGAAAGATCATCTGCGATGACATCTTCCGGCATAATCCCAGATTGTTCTGGAGATGTCTGCAGTTTTTCATATCTGCAACCATCGCTGAAAACGTTCTTTTGAAAAGACAAGCATCTGATGCAGAATTGCTCTTCAAATCCTGCTGCAAAGAACAGTTTATCAGTTGACTGTGAGCCTGTGAAACACTTGAAGTGAAACTTGAGCAGGTCATTGACTAAATAAAGGCCAAGGCCGAGGACTTTATGAAAATAATGAAACCACCGCCAAACTCGAGCCTGTGAATTCACTATCAGACCTCAATGTGTAGCGGGCAGCTCAGTATCAAACAGTTTAACATCATAGGAGTTGTCTAATAACTGGGAGGAATTTTCAAACCCTTACTATAAACCATTTGCATAATTTTACTAATCTACTTACGACGTCAAGAAAAGATGTGTTGTCCTGTAACCATAATCAAGACGGATTGTATGAAGCCCATCTAGAAAATGGGTCAGAAGATGTTTCATGGTTGGCACTGGTTTTCATCATCCACATGAAAAAAAAAAGCCAGAAGCTTACAATTATCAGCTATGTCATTGGACCTAAATGTGTTTTGCTTCCTTTAGCAGTCTGACAAACGTTTGTTTGAACTCAGAACTGCTTAGTATGACTTTCTCCTTGTGAGAAACAGATTTGCACACGGTCCCTTAATGACGTGCAGCAACATTTACATTCCATACTATTACTGTATGTTTTTTTTCCCCTCTCTCTATTCTTCCAGATGAGACCTTGACATAGAGTCAAACCAACCAAAAGAGAATTAAACATTAATATCTATACATAGAATTATGGCTTCGTGGACCAAGAGATTGAAAGCAAAGTTGTTAATTAATCACAGTTTGAAGCTGCAATTCTCACCTTTCCTCTGACAACCTTCTGCTTTTAATAGCGAGTGTCAAATAACCAGGGAAGTAATAAAAGCTCAACTGATTTATTCCTCGGCTGAATGTTAACCACAGCAGTGTTGTATTGAAGTGTGAGGCAAATCTTAAAGTAAATCACTCCGCAATGATTGCGCCCTCTCTTCAAACCACAAAATGATCCTGAGATTGCCTTCACCGCTTCAGTTAGGAGGGGGTGAGTCAGCTCCGAACGGTGCTTCAGCAGGTAAATATTTGTGTTTTAGAAGCAGAATTTCCATTCTTTGTCATTGATATGCTGTAAAAAGAAAAAGAAAAAGATGGTTACTCATGCTGTAAAAACTTGGTTTAATGAACAGTGCTTTGTACCAGTGGCTTGGGAGAGTAGATTATGTCCATGTACTACTTTGCTTTATATCTTGTGAAATTTTGTACCAAATATTTATATACCACAATGATGACTAAATATTATTTAAATATGTACATTCTGTGTTATTGTTTCTGTGTTTTGAAAGTGTTAAACTGTAAATGTGAGCTGTTTGCAGTTCAATTGATGATGTGCAAATGGAATCAAACTTTCATTAAAATAAATGTTCTCTTTTACAGAAAATCTGAGCAATTCTTTACACACACAGAAACACTTATAAATGCATTACGTTAAGCTTTTGACTTATCACAAGCAATTTGTATTTATTTATTTATTTTGCAAATGACTGTTGGGCTGTTGCCCATTTTGTGAGCAAAGATAAGTTCAATCATAGAACCTGAAATGAATGTATTGAAATGTATTTAATATACATGTAAATGTAATAATATTATATATATATGAATCATGTTGCGTGTGTGTGTGTGTGTGTGTGTGTGTGTGTGTGTGTGTGTGTGTGGAAAAATAAATACAAATACATTTAAAAATCTATAATATATAGCATATATATGTAAATATGCAAATATTATTTGTAGATATGTATATATTTAAAGTCCCCATGAAATCAAAATTACATTTTTTTGGGTGTTAGTATCAATATGTTAGTCTTAAGGTTATCTATAAGGCAGTGTGCTCCAAAACAGTGAAAAAATTCACATTTAGAAGATATAAGCATTCAAAGCTTGCAATTCGTTACTTTCTGCTCAACGATTTTTTTGACGTCACATCGTACTTCAGCTTCTCATCTAACTTTCTGTCCGATCAAATGCTCTCTAGAATCCGAGGCGCCCACCCCCTACACTATAAAATAGACGCTGAAGCCTCGGTCACTTGTCCACAGAATTAGTATTTTCTGTACAGTGAATGGCACGTAGTGCACTATATAGGGGACAGGGAACGATTCAAACAGTGTAAATATGCTTTCCATTGAGGAAAAAAAGAAGTCTGGTTTCGCGCTGTCAC